GCTCGTTTTCTGTCCTTGTTGTGGTTGACGGTGGTGCTGTCGTTGTTTGTGTTGCTGCGTACATTAGTGTTGCTGTTTCTAGTGTTTTTGTGTGTAGTTCATTCTTTTTCGTTGTTGGTGTTGCTCTTTGTTCTAGTGTTGATTTTATTGTTATTTTCGTTGCTGATAGTGTTGTTATCATTGATGTTTTTGAAGAATAAAAAGACACAGTACCGGGACTGGAACAATACCCAAATAACCCGCAGACAGGAGACAGAAACTTGTGATGACGTTTTACTCCAACTTGGGCCATTAACTTGTCGTTGCCCTTTTGATGTCGTTGTCGATTTTATTTTTGTTGCTAGTATCGTTGCACTTGCTGCTATTGTCGTTGCAGTTACTGCTATTGCCATTGCGGTTGCTGTTATTGTAGTTGCAGTTGCTGCTATTGTGTCGCAGTTGCTGCTATTATAGTTGCAGTTGCTGCTATTGTTGCGGTTGCTGCTATTGTCGTTGCAGTTACTACTATTGTCGTTGCGGTTGCTGTTATTGTAGTTGCAGTTGCTGCTATTGTGTTGCCGTTGCTGCTATTATAGTTGCGGTTGCTGCTATTGTAGTTGCGGTTGCTGCTATTATAATTACAGTTGCTGCTATTGTCGTTGCGGTTGCTGTTATTATAGTTGCGGTTGCTGCTATTGTAGTTACGGTTGCTGCTATTATAGTTGTGGTTGCTGCTATTGTAGTTGCGGTTGCTCCTATTGTAGTTGCGGTGTGGCGTGTCCCATCTCTGGAACATTCTGTCCCTGTCCACTTTGTCGATTCCTCTCGGTATTTTATATGTTCTTATCATGTCCCCCCTGTCCCTCCTGTCCTCCAGTGTTGTCAGGTCGATTTCCCTTAACCTCGCCTTGTAGGACATACCCTTTAACTCAGGGACTAGTCTCGTTGCAAACCTTTGTACTTTCTCTAATTTCCTGACGTGCTTATCCAGGTGTGGGTTCCAAACTGGTGCTGCATACTCCAATATGGGCCTGATGTGCACGATATACAGAGTCCTGAACGACTCCTTAGGGAGATGTGGGAATGTTATTCGTAGGTTTGCTAGTCGCCCTTATGCCGCAGCAGTTATTTGGTTGATGTGCGCCTCAGGAGATGTGTTCGGTGTTATTCTCACCTCAAGGTCCTCTTCCTTGAGTGAAGTTTGTAGTCTTTGGCTTCCTAGATTGTATTCTGTCTTGTGTCTTCTTTGCCTTTCCCCGATCTTCATGACTTTGCATTTGGCTGAGTTGAACTCCGGAATCCATTTCCTGGACCGGGCCTGTAGCCTGTCCAGATCCCTTTGTAGCCCTGCCTGGTCCTCCTCCGATTAAATTCTCCTCGTTAACTTGACATCGTCTGCAAACCGAGACACTTCTAAGTCTATTCATTCTTTCATGTCATTCACATATACCAGAAACACCACCAGCCCTAGGACTGACCCCTGTGGAACTCCGCTCGTCACAGGCGCCCACTCTGACACCTCGCCACGTACCATGACTCTGCTGCTTTCCTGTCAGGTATTTTCTGAGCCACTGTAGTGCCTTCCCTGTTATCCCTGCCTGGTTCTCCAGGTTTTGCACTAATCTCTTGTGTGGAACTGTGTCAAAAGCCTTCTTACAGTCCAAGAAAATGCAATCTACCCCCCCCCCTCTCTCTCTCTTGTCTTACTGCTGTCACCTTGTCATGGAACTCCAGTAGGTCTATGACACAAGATTTCCCTTCCCTGAATCTGTGCTGGTTGTCGTTGATTATCTCATTCCTTTCTAGGTGCTCCACCACTCTTCTGATAATATTCTCAATGGTTTTACATACTACACATATCGGTGACACTGGTCTGTGGTTTAGTACTACGTGTCTGTCTCCTTTTTTGAAAATTAGGACTACATTTACTGTCTTCTCTACCTCAGAGAGCTGCCCTCTTTTGACAGATGTGTTGAAGATTGTTGTTAGTGGTACACACAATGCTTCTGCTCCCTCTCTCAGGACCCTTGAAGAGGTGTTATCAGGCCCCATCGCCTTTGAGGTACGTGTGTGTGTGTGTACTCATCTAGTTGTACTCACCTAGTTGAGGTTGCAGGGGCCGAGTCCAAGCTCCTGGCCCCGCCTCTTCACTGGTCGCTACTAGGTCACTCTCCCTGAACCGTGAGCTTTATCATACCTCTGCTTAAAGCTATGTATGGATCCTGCCTCCATTACATCGCTTCCCAAACTATTCCACTTCCTGACTACTCTGTGGCTGAAGAAATACTTCTTAACATCCCTGTGATTCATCTGTGTCTTCAACTTCCAACTGTGTCCCCATGTTGTTGTGTCCCATTTCTGGAACATCCTGTCTTTGTCCACCTTGTCAGTTCTCAGTATTTTGTATGTCGCTATCATGTCCCCCTATCTCTCCTGTCCTCCAGTGTCGTCAGGTCGATTTCCCTGTGTGCGTTAGTTACCATTTTGTCCTAGGCACATATCGATTAGACACTAGGCCTGTTGTATATGAGAACGTGTGTGTGGTAGTGTGTGTGTACTCACCTAATTGTACTCACCTAATTGCGGTTGCAGGGGTCGAGACACAGCTCCTGGTCCCGCTTATTCACTGATCGCTACTAGGACCTCTCCCTCTCTGCTCCCAGAGCTTTGTCATACCTCGTCTTAAAGCTATGTATGGTTCCTGCCTCCACTACTTCACTTGCTAGGCTATTTCACTTCCTGATGACTCTAGACTGAAGAAATATTTCCTAACATCCCTATGACTCGTCTGAGTCTTCAGCTTCTAATTGGGACCCCTTGTTTCTGTGTCCCCTCTCTGGAACAACCTGTCTCTGTCTACCTTATCTATTCCACGCAGTATTTTGTATGTCGTTATCATGTTTCCCCTGACCCGCCTGTCCTCCAATGTCGTCAGTCCGATTTCCCTCAACCTTTCTTCGTAGGACATACCACTGAGCTCCGGAACTAGCCTTGTTGCAAACCTTTGCACTTTCTCTAATTTCTTGACGTGTTTGACCAGGTGTGGGTTCCAAACTGGTGCTGCATACTCCAGTATGGGCGCGATGTACACAGTGTACAGTGTCTTGAACGATTCCTTACTAAGGTATCGGAACCCTATTCTCAGGTTTGCCAGGCGCCCGTGTGTGTGTGTGTGTGTGTGTGTGTGGTGTGTGTGTGTGTGTGTGTGTGTGTGTGTGTGTGTGTGTGTGTGTGTGTGCTCACCTATTTGTACTCACCTGTTTGTGGTTGCAGGGGTCGAGTCACAGCTCCTGGCCCCGCCTCTTCGCTGATTGCTACTAGGTCCTCTCTCTCCCTGCCCCATGAGCTCTATCATACCTCGCCTTAAAACTATGTATGGTTCCCGCCTCCACTACGTCATTTTCTAGGCTATTCCACGGCCTGACTACTCTATGACTGAAGAAATACTTCCTAACATCCCTTTGATTCATCTGAGTCTTCAACTTCCAATTGTGACCTCTTGTGCCTGTGTCCCTTCTCTGGAACATCCCGTCTTTGTCCACCTTGTCTATTCCGCGCAGTATTTTATATGTCGTTATCATGTCTCCCCTGACCCTCCTGTCCTCCAGTGTCGTCAGGCCGATTTCCCTCAATCTTTCTTCGTGTGTGTGTGTGTGTGTGTGTGTGTGTGTGTGTGTGTGTGTGTGTGTGTACTCACCTATTTGTACTCACCTATTTGTGGTTGCAGGGGTCGAGTCCTAGCTCCTGGCCCCGCCTCTTCACCGGTTGCTACTAGACCCTCTCTCTCCCCGCTCCATGAGCTTTATCAAACCTCGTCTTAAAACTGTGTATGGTTCCTGCCTCCACTACGTCATTTTCTAGGCTATTCCACTGCCTTACAACTCTATGACTGAAGAAATACTTCCTACTATCTCTCTGACTCATTTGTGTCTTCAACTTCCAATTGTGGCCTCTTGTTTCTGTGTCCCCTCCCTGGAACATCCTGTCCTTGTCCACCTTGTCTATTCCACGCAGTATTTTATATGTCGTTATCATGTCTCCCCTGACCCTCCTGTCCTCCAGTGTCGTCAGGCCGATTTCCCTTAATCTTTCTTCATAGGACATTCCCCTTAGCTCTGGAACTAACCTTGTCGCAAACCTTTGTGTGTGTGTATGTGTGTGTGTGTGCGTGTGTGTGTGTGTGTGTGTGTGTGTGTGTGTGTGTGTGTGTGTGTGTGTGTGTGTGTGTGTGTGTGTGTGTGTGTGTGCGTGGGCGTGTGTGCGTGCGCGCATTCCAGAAATCACATACACTGCAACAGGAACTTCCATTAAATAGTCTAGTGACCTACGTCACTTAAGACTTTTTTTTCCGAGTACAATTGCGTTAATTTAACGCTTGGAAATCAAGAATGAATATGTTAGTGGGTTTAATATAAGTTTGGAGGGGGAGAGGGAGGGAGGGGGAAGGGGATTGATGGGGGCGGGGTAGACACCGCCTACGCTAGCGTCAACACTGGTGACCACTGGCATGCCTCCTCCTCGAGGGGTAACGCCAACTCTCTCAGTAACACTCGGGAATGTTGACACAACTCAGGGGAACTTGAGTAATTGTCCTGCACTGGCCACTCCTTCACCTCCCTCCCGACCTTGCCGTGTTTTCCTCTACTCAAGCCATTAAATCTCTACGATACTCAGTTTTTCCCGTGATTGCGTCCCTGAGCGGCTGGTCAGTGTTGTTCTTCCGGTGTTGGTAAATGAATAAGGTGTATGAGAGCGTGTTCCTACGTTGTGTTCTGTGGATGACATTGATTCATGTTTTGTCAGCTTCCCGCGCTTTTTGATAATGCTTTCCTTTTAGAGATAATCTTACGTCATCAAGAAGAGCGTCTTGTGATTGGGCGTCGCCGCGTTCGTCCATTGGTTGAGAGCCTCAGAGCTCCAAGGCGAGTCTGCATTGGCTCACGTCACTATCTACTGCGCGGGGATTGGCCAGCTATATTAGTGACGTGTACGGCTCCGTACTAGGGACGTTTTCATCAATGGTCTGCTAATTCAGATGGTGGTACGACTGCTTGGAGTGAAGACGTGTCTTGTTGAGCTGTGCTTGGAAAGTGTGTGTTGGTGCTTGACACTCTCAGTCGATGTTGCAGTAAGTGTACGTACATGTCCTGGAAGAGCAGTAGTAGTCGTGGCATACCCATGCTGTGCCATGCCTTCTCTTGATGGTGAGGCAGCAGGATACAGCGGCAGTATGAGTGGAGTTAGCGTAGCGCCGGTGGTGGAGGCCAGTTTCCTGTGCGAGGCGCTGAGGCAGGCACAGGAAGATATACTGGTGCTGGATTGTCGAGGGGCAGACGACTACGCCGCGGCCCACATCCGTGGCGCCGTCAGCGTGGGCCTGCCATCCCTCATGCTAAGACGTCTGGCGTCGGGGAAACTCTCTCTGCCACAGGTTGTACGTCACTTGGCTTCTGACGGAGGCGACCGCCTCGCCAGACTCCACCAGTGTGTCCCCATCGTTCTCTACGACCACGCCCATGCTTACAACACCCACACGCCCACACTCATGAGCATACTCTGCCGAAAGTTCAACCAAGAGGGCTGCAGCACCCACTGTTTAGCAGGTAAGATTGTGACACTAGAGTTAGGCAGGGACACGTAGGCAACCTATTAACATTACGTTATAAGTACACTTACAAATAATTTTATAGAAACTAAACATGACTAACTATTACTATCGTAAATCATTCCATTAATCGGCAGAAAATTTGACATTGTATTATTAAACGCTGTATGACCCTGGTAGATTTAGCGGTTCCTTTTGATTATAATAATGATTTATTAGCCATTTTATATATATTATATATATATATTATATATAATATATATATATATATATATATATATATATATATATATATAATGTCAAGACCCCACGTACAGCCTTATCTGTTATCAGTGTTATCACTTGAGGATCACTCCCTCGAGGCTGCTGTCTGGGGGTGTTATCTAGTGACAATATTCCTCGTCAGGATATTTTTTTGTTAAACTTCTAATATATACACTAAACGAGCAAGAGATATTTATATATTTGACCTTGAGTGCTCTCTCTCCAGTTTGTATTGATTCAGGGGCCTCGGCCTGACCCAAATTTGAGTTAAGGAATGCATACCTGGTGTCGTAATAGCAAAAGCTGTGTGTCAAGTTGGATTATCGTGTAAGATGGGAAGTAAATCCAGTTACTAAGATCATATGAATGAAAATGACGACATATTATTACTATTATTTAATATTAATTATTATTATTATTATTATTATTACTAATTATTATTGAATAAGCTCTGAACCTGTCATCAGTGCAACTCCGCTGAAGGGAGATGACAGAAAGGTACCGTAACCACTTGATTCCAGTTAGACTACATGTTAACGACTATATAGTATTGGCTGTCGTAAATGTTGACAGAGGTGGGCTAGGCCGTGCAGAGGGGTAGAGTGGAGCCTCCGCTGGGGGTGAATGAAAGAATACATAAACAGGAGCACCCATTCACACACGCGCCGGCCCCGAGGTTGCCATCCCAGGCAAAACAATCAATACGGAGTACGGTGGACGGACACCAGACCTGCCCTCCACACCACTGCCTCTTACTGCCTCCCCCTGACGCTGCTACTGCTACTGCTGGTGTTTTGTTAGTCAGGAAACAGCTGTGTCTCATAATGCAGTTATTACCAATTAGTGTGGTAGGAAGATAACCTGTGCAGGCAAGCCTTCATTACAGACAATATTACGTCTAATATGTGGGCGAAATGTCTCTATTGAAGGTTTCCACTACACTTACAGTGAAGGACTCCTGACACTGGTCCTTGTCGACTAATGACCTGTTCATTGGCTAAAACAATGTTTACCTAAGCTAGTTTAACATTCCATTTAAAAGAGCTACGATGAGCAGACGGTGTTCTGTCCCTCTTGTTTTGGTCAGAGACCAACGAATGTATAATCTAATAAAAAAAATGTGGTGTATGAATGGGCGAGGGAGGCAGCAGTATAGTGAGTTGTCATTTCCATAAGAGGATAGATAATCTGCAGGTGGGAAAATTCCACGAGCGTCTCTCTCGACTGACTAGCCCAAGTGAGAAAGCATTTTTTTTTTTTTGTAATCCCAGCGAATGAACTTAGTCATTTACATTTACAAATGTATAAGAAGTTTGACTGTGCGTGTGTGTGTGTGTGTGTATTGTGTGTGTGTGTGTGTGTATTGGGTGTGGGTGTGCATTATGTGGGTGTATGTGTGTGTATTGTGGGTGTATGTGTGTGTGTGCGTGTGTTGTTGTGTGGATGTGGATGTATATTGTGTAGGTGTATGTGTGTATTGTGGGTGTGTGTGTGTATTGTGTATGTGTTTGTATTGTGTGTGTGTGTTGTGTTGTGTGGGGAGATACGTCTAAATGTATGTGTACGTCATTGCTCGTGTAAGCTGCCTTGCTTCCGTAAATCACTGCTCCTGTAAATCACTGCTAGGTACGTGGCTTTGCGTATGTACGCAG